CAGAGAGCCAAACGGGAATTAAATAAAAGAAAAATAACACATTTTCCTGGAGTGCATTTAACATGAGTTATTATTCTTATATTCTATGTATTCTTTTTAGATAATTAATTATTATCCTGTTTGATTCATGAAAACACTTAGCTTTAATCTTGTGTTGTTGTGTGTCTATAGTCATTTTGTGCATTTGTTGGGACATTTTGACATTTTGTTGTTTCTACTGTAGATTTTGTTTGTTTTTCTCCTATCAGAAGTTTTATCTTTCGTCTCTGCTCATGAAGTTAAGCTCAGTCTGGGAGTTTTGACCCAGATGGAGGGTTTCATCTCTGTTTTTTAGCCCTTCTGGCTGCAAATGTGTTGGTTTTGGTCTGACAGTTTTGGATGTTTGAAACCCTGATTAGCTGAAAGCAGTAAAAAAAAAAAGTGACATAAAACCATCACAAACACATGAATGTATTATATAATGAAACAAAACGTTACCAGAAACAAAAGAAAATGTCCTTAAAAACAGAAAAATACCCTAATATATATTAATCAGACACAAAAATGCTGAAAAAAGACACAATAAATGTAGAAAATATGCATTTTTTCCATTAATATTTTATTATTATTTCATTTGTCACAATTTTATGAATCTAAATTATTATATTACATCTTACTCATATTAAATATCATATTATTTATATTTTATTAGCTCATTTTGTTATTTTATTATTTATTTTATATCATTTATTTTATCTTACCAAAATCCACAAATGTATTTTAATGGGTTTTATCTCCACTCCCAGCCGGACCCGGGCTACCTGCTGTCGGCCGGTTGTCCTGGCAACGGCGCAGGGGGGGGGGGCGTGGCCTTCCGGGGCTGCTGTCCAATGGGAGCGCGGCAGGCAACAGGTGAGCAGCAACACACACCTGACCCCGCGGCACGCACGCGCTACACGTCGACAGGAGCGCGCGCAGGAGGAGGAAGAAGAAGAAGAAAAGGATCCAGAACCGGAACCGGACCCGGAGGAACGAGACCGGAGCCCGGGGCACCATTACCGGACTCCTACCGGGACTCTGACCGGGACTCTGACCGGGACTCTGACCGGGACTCTGGAGCCGGAGCACGGCGGCTTTTCCGGGCTTTGAGGAGCTCTGACCCGCGGACGGATTATTGCTCCCCCATAATCCGCAGTTTGCGTCTTTAAAAGCAGCGAAAATCCGCAGTTTCACCTTATAAACAGCAAGGATACGCAGTTTGCGT